CATTTTTTGAGTACTTTCTCCACCACTGCCTGGGTCTCAGCGTCTCTCCTCACCAACAACCCCACCTCATGTCAGTTTCGTAGCTGATTACCGCATGCATCTGAATGAAACATTCAACCCAGTCTGTGAGTTCCACAATGTTGAGGATTTGTTTTGCCGCCCTGAAGGTTTTGAACTCTTGGGTGAATTTGATTGAGATCTGTTTGCAGGATCAAAGTGTTGGCTTGATACAAAACATGTGTAGAGTAGTTCTGTGAGGATGAAGGATACATGATTCAAAAATTCAGAAAAATCGTCATCAATATAAAATAAAAAAAATCTTAATTTAATGGTCGTGCCTGACACATTTGAGTTCATTACAGTCCATTAATGGGTATGCTGACTCAGTTTCTCTGATTTTACTTTTCATGGGCATATGTTTGAGTAAAATGAATATTGTTCTTTTATTCTATCAACTACTAACAACATGTCTCTGAAATTCTAAGCAAAAATTTAGTATTTATTTGCAGAAAATGAGAAATGGACAAAATAACGAAAAAGATACAGTCCTTTCAGAGCTCAAATAATGTAAAGAAAACAAGTTCATGTCATTTAGAAACAACAAAACTGATTTTTTTTTTAACTCAGGAAGAGTTCAGAAATCAATATTTGGAATAACCAGGAGGTTTTCAATGGGGTTCAGTGAAGTGGGCTCTTCATTTTTTTCCACAACTGTTTATGTATATTTGGAACAGATATTAGTTTTCTCCCACTCTGATCTTTCACATACAATTTACATTAATGAAAAACTTCAAAATAATCATAAAAAGCATGAATAAATCATTTTTATTAAACAGCTAATTTATTTCTATACATCAATCCCAAAGATATTACACTCATTCTTAATAGCTTAACGCGCCATTTCAGCACCGTCTTCCTACCGGAAATATTGAAACAGGATGTTTCCGCGTCACTTTCCCAGCCTCCCCGTGTACATTCCCAGCATTAATCAGATACTGCAGGAAAACCAGACTAGTGAAGCAGGTAATCGGTGTAGGCAGGGAAATCAATGGCATCTTTAATTGCCGCGTGGAAGAAGCGACAGAGACATTGCTCTCATGCTCGTGCGCGGCGACAGGCCGGGCCGGGGCGGAGTCTCCGGGGAGCGCGTGGGGAATCCTGTTGGCTGTGGGGAATTTCCCGGGGCTTTAGCGCGCGAGCACAGACGCGGTTTTCCGTTAAATGGAGGGTGAGGGAGTGGAGGGGGGCTTTTACATGGTTGAGCCCCGGCATCACATTCGCCCACTGTGAAATGGAGGGATTTGAATAATCTTATTACACCCTATTACAATAACACTAATATGATCCAGCGCCTCGCGAGCCAGTTTTGGACGAGGGGATGTTTGACAATGTGGCCACCCCGAACTGCAGCGACTCCAAAGATGTGAGGATTTTGTTTTTTAGGCCTAAATCACTTTGGAACGTCTTCACACGACTAAAACTGTCATTTAGACGTTCATGTAAAATTAAGCAATTGTTAGATCTGCACTTTTAAAGCCAATCTGTAAAGGTGCATTTGTACAGTACATACAGTACTGTGCAAGTTAATTGTTTTCACTGTAAAAGTATGTTAGACTGAAAAAAAGAGAGAGAAAAAAATCCAGTATTTAACTTGCATACATCTATGCAGTAGGGAAATATTTCTATTATTTGTAATTCTAAATAATTCTATTATTTCCCTACTGCAATAATAACTTTTTTTAAATTCACCAATTAGTGCATACAAAACAAACATCACAGACTAACAAACAGAGGTATTGATCTATTAAAATAACAAATAACAAATTAGATAATAGAGCAAATGAAGCAATAACAACGTTAACAACATCTGTGTCGGTACAATTTCATCTGTTCATTTGTTTTGGATCGTTATCTTGTGAAAAGAATTGAGTACGACTCATTGTCAGTTCTCTGGTAACATCCAACAGATTAAAGAAAAAAAAATCTGGTTTTTCAAAGAGTTAATGATGTCACAAGATTCCCAGGGTGTTTGGAGGAGAAACAGGCCCACAGCATCACACGTCTTCCACCGTACTTGGAGGGTTTGTTGCAGAAAAAAACATCAGCTTTTTCTCATCTTATCAAATTCTTTGCCAAAAAAAAAAAGAATTTTCTTTTGCCAATACCTATTTATTATCTGCTGACAAATAGACTCAGATTAACTAAAAACTCATCCCGAGTTACTAAGGCTATGATAAAATTATGTTTTTAGCTAATAATAATAATAATAATAATAATAATAAATAACTATTAGGGGAGGGAGGATAAAAGTCAGTCAAATCGAAGTTTGGTCATGTAAAAATATGGGATAAGTCTGAAAAATAGCCAGTGTGACTTAATATTACACTGTAGGAAGTGAATGAAATGAAATGATATGGTTAGTAGCAACATGGTGGTTGTTGAAAAAGTGAAAGAAGTCTTCCTGTTTCATACATTGCATACATTGAATTTATTCAGATCAAACACATCTAGTAGAAACATTGCATGAACATTAAAAAAACAGCTTTTGAAAGAATAAAACTTGTTGCATTGGATTCATGTGTTATATTGTATATGATACGTAGAATTAAAGGAGCATTTCACATAACAGCAGGATGCCGTTATGTGAAACAGCAGAAGTAAATCTCTCTACGACTTTAACTCCATTTCCTCCGGGGATAAATGTTTCACACAGATATGAAGGATGGCTTTTCTTCAAAGATGTAACACTCACCAGAAATTCATTCCTCCACGAGTTTACAGTTCAGTCTGATAAATTTACTACAAAATCAAAAACTAGAAGACTACAAATAACTAAAATGTGACTAAAACGACTTTTTTCTCCCCAGCAGAGTTTAGCAAGCTTCACATTTAAACAGCTTCTGATATATATATGAAAGGTGATAGTTGTTGCTAAGGAACCCCAGGATCCCAGTCCGCTGCGGTTCTCTAAAGTCCGCCTCCAGCCTCTTTTAACACTTCCAGTTGACTTAAACTTTTTAATTACTGATGTAGATGTGTGTCAGCTTTAGTGTAGCTCATCCTCGCAGCATTTTCCTGACTCATTGAGTTTATGACATGCAGCTACATGCTAACTAGCATGGTCTGTTGTCTTATTGATTTTGAGGAGCAGCTGAAAGAAATGAGCATCTTTGTAATGCCATTATAGTTCTACCTTTGGGAATCCAAAATTCGTGAACAATGAATTAGAAGTCCTCAGAATCTCTGTACAATTTTAGAAAAAGCAAAGCATGCATTAAAATGTGTAATTTCCCTTTATTTGAAAGAGATTCAATTAAAAGTTTTGTTGTGGTTTGAGGATTCCATAAACAGGAGGGCTTCTAAAGTGTCCGTGCACTTTAAATATTGTACCAGTAATGAGTGGTGGAGTGACTGCAAAACATCATGAGACCCATTTGTCAGACTAAAAGTACCTTTTGTGCATATACTTATCATTAAGCCCACAGTTCTGTTTTTAAAAATGTGTGTTTTTTTTATTTTTATTTTTTTGTTGTTGGTCAGTTTAATATTTGAATTTGAAATGTCATGTTTTCATTAGATGTTAGCTGAAAATCATCGTGATTAAGAGAAATGAAAGTGTTAAAACATCAGTCTTTGTCTAATTAATCTACAAAACGCTTCATTTGGCAGCAGAGTTACTTAAATAAATTAACTTTTCAACAATATTCCAATCTATTGATTGGGTCTGTATTGGTTTTTAAGCAAAACTTTTGTTATTCTGTTCTTTAAAGGGGCAGTACTATGAGTTTTCTAGCCACATGGTGTCATTTACAGCACAATCAACTAATTATGGTACCTCAAGTTGTTATAAAATGCTATAACATTTTTATAACAACTATTTCTGAAACTTCGAAATAGTTTTTGGAGTTTCAGAAATACTCAGAATTTCTGAAACTCCCCCTTCAGGAAGTCATCACAACATTGCTCCTCTATTAACCCTTTAATAACGTTTTTACCAACATTGGTGAAAAGTGGCTCAGGTGATGTGTGGCTCCAGCACGTGCTTGCTAATTACTGCTGGCTAGTCTGAAGGAGCTGAGTGGAGGAGTAGAAGGGTGGAAGCTGCAGCTCAGAGGAGGAGCTTCGTCCTCGAAGGCGGGGCTAGGTCCACCGATGCCTTTTGCACAGCTGAATGGTTGCCATGGAGACTAAATTATTTCTCAAACATGCATGAAATAATCAAGGCAACAGTCCCGTTATGTTTTTGATCAAGGAATAACATTGTAACATGATGTAAAGCTCTAAAAAGTTGATTTTACATAATACTGCCCCTTTAACTCCCCAGTGACAGGCTCACATTTTGTTGAGTCAACGTCTCTTCTCATTTTGGCAGAAAACCAGAGTCAGTGGAGTAACGTTTACCTGCTAAAAATGTACCTCAGAGGTATATCTGGACTCAGACGAGCGTTCTGCCTGCTGGTCCGTCCCCCTCGTCCCAGTTTCTCCTCCTTTGCGTCTCCCCCGGGCAGTCTGGGAGAAAACAGCTGAGAGTGGACTGAGATTTATCTGCTCCCATCTAAATGCGCTCCCGCCCCGTGGCCCCTACCTGCCCGCCAGCTTGTTTGCCTCCACCCACCCCCTCCCCCCCTGCCGGCCTGTCTGGATATTGGATTTGCTCTTTGACTGTGACCTTATACGCGACGAGCCACAGGATCCAGTGCGACTGCGTTGGGCCCTCTGTCCTGTCGTGCGGAGTCATGTCTCGCCGCCGTCCCCTCTCTCCGCCGCCACCCCGTGTGCACTTATTGGATTCTCCCTCTTCTCTTGCACTCTGATAAGGGCATCTGTCAAGCGGATGAACAATCAGAGCTAAAAAGGTGTGTGATGCACGCTTGGAAGGAGCTTACTTCCTGCTGAGAGGCTGAGAGGAGGATGCTGTAAGAGAGGTAGAAGGACTGAGGAGGGGAAGGAAGAAGAGGGGACAAGTTTGGGTGAGGGTCGGGGGTGGGGTGAGGGCGCCCGCATCGGGGTGAAAACACATCTGAGGATGATGGCTTCCGCTCAGCTACGCGTATTCTCAAGCAATAACATCGACATCTGTATTATCAACCCAAGAATACCCGTGGTCGAGACGGGAGCAAGCGGTCACTCCCCTCCACCGTCTCTCCTGCCTCCCGTCCCTCCATCGTCCCCCCCACACACACACCCGCCCGCTTGGCGGCGGCGCAGCAGGAGAGAGTTGGAGGGGAAAGGGTGGAGGTTTCCAGAGCCGCTCCGACCGCCCAGGGTTCTGCAAGGAGGAAGCAGAGAGAGGACAAATCATGTGGGACTGACTCATCAGTTAATTAGGCCTTAAGGTATTGTTCTTCAGATTGAATGTTAATTAGGAAACCAGATTAAAAAAAAGAGAAAAGGGCAGAAATTTTCAAAAAATTGGGCGTTTCTGAAATGTTTTCACCCTGCGGGGAAAGTAAATGACATTGTACTGCAGGAATTTGCAAAGATTCTTACACTTCAGAGATTAAATTACACTTTTTTTTCTCTCTCTCTTTTCTTGCTTTATCTCTTTAAAGTCAAGCACTACCAATTCATCACTATGGAAACATTGCTCAGCTTTATCTGGATGCAACTTAGAAATGGTGGTTCTGGCAAAAAAAAAAAAACAAACAAAAAAAACCTCCCTCTGCAGCCTCTGAGTATAAGAAAAGCATTACGGTTTCACTGTTCTCAGTCTGTATATTGAATAACTTTTGCTCAGTGTAAAAATGACCTGAGGCGTTTTTAGATCAATCTGGACCTGACCCAAAGTTCAACATGTAGTGAATTAGCCCTTTAGTTTAGCAGTAACTTCAAGTTGAAGAATCAGAAAAAACAGATTTGATCTAAATGAGCCATTACAATCACTACAGCTATGTTTTTATTTTTGTGTATGAGTAGTGGGGGCACTCACTCCCCATTGGCTGGGCATGTAAAAAAAATACTGCAGCATTGTTCAGGGCTCAGTTTGTAAATGATTTATGCCACCCGCCCCCTAAGCTGTGCTGCCCTGGCTGACATCCTGTATTGTCAATAATAAAATATGGCGTATTATGTTAAAGACAACCAATACTTCTGAATAATGTTAATATTTCATGCGGTTCGTTGAGCAACGTCACCGGAACCGGACAGTCTCCAGTTTGACCGATTCTGATCGGTGGCCAGCCGCTTAGACACTCAGAAAATGCAATGTTTTTATTTCTGGTCAGTGAATGCACCACACCTAATGGAGCATTCAAGTAGAGGGATAAAAGCCACACTCTTCAAAGTGGATGCTGTTACTGAGGGTGATATAAAGTCTTAAAGATAGCTAGTTTCACTATCAATGAGTGGCATGAAAATAAAGTCAGAGGAATCAGAACGACGTAAGAAAACTGTTTAACAGGAAGAAAATATGCAAATTCAGAACTACTAGAAAACACATGTTTGTATTAATAAGTGGAGTCAAACTGAGGACAACATCCAAACATGAAACAGTTCAAATGTCCATGTTAACATATGATTTTAATGGATATAATTCTTCAATTATTGTTACTGTTTTTGCTATTGACTGTTTTGCTTTTGGTGAAATTTAAAGAGATAATTGTTCATCCACTTCAGTTAAAATTAAATTGATTAAACATAGGCTAACTGTTAAATAACAGTTTATTTGTTATATTATACATTGTTGGTATATTACATGTATCATACATGTAATAACTGGAATTTTATGTAGGTGAATATTGATAAGTTTATACTTCCATCCACTCCCTTGAACACGTAAAACAAAAGTTTTGACTTTATGCTTCATGATGTAAGCATTTTTCATATTCTATTAAAAAAAAAGAAACAAACATGTTGAGATGTTAATATGTTTCAGTCAGCCTATGAGAGAGAGAGCAAAACTTTCAACAGACAACATGAAGGCTTAAAGAAAGAAAGATTGTTTTTGAGCTTTAAACCTTTTTTTGTGATGGAAAACTCTGGAACCATTTCAGAAATGTCACAGTTTAAGTAAGTATTTAATTCCCCATAATACAGACAAACAGATCTGCTGCTTTACTAAAGCTAGCTGCACTTTTGGATCTAACTGCTAACACAAGATGCTAACGGCAGTTTAAATGTCAGCCCTATCATTGTTTGTTGCTGTAACTCCTGACTGTATATCATGGCTCATAAACAGAAATCAGAATTGGATGAAATTGATCTTGGCAGCTTTACTGAAACCGGGCGTTGGAAGTCGACCGAGAGACGCAGAACGTCTAAATCAAAGGCGGGGCCTAATTGGTGCAAACGTCTCTGTTATTTTGGCAGCTGTTACTGTAGATTCCGGTCATTTCTCTCTGCTGGGTCTTTTCTCCCGCAACACCGAGCGGATCTGCAGTCAGCACCAGGCAAGCATCAATGCGTGAGAGAGAGAGAGAGAGAGAGAGAGAGAGAGAGAGAGAGAGAGAGAGAGAGAGAATGTGATGGACCGTCGTCCTCACACAAATAGTCGTTTTGTCATCACCGCACGCCAGGGTGCAATAAAGTTAGGTTTCTCCATTTTCCCCTCCTCCTTCTTCTTTCTTTTACTCAGTGCTGATGACCCCTGACTGGCTGCGAGCGAGGAAGCGAGAGTTGGGAGCTTTTGCCACCCAAATTATCAGTGAGCTCCACAGATGCACACACTGAACCGTGTTTTAATTGACCACGTGACTGTGCAAACTGGAATTACGAAAAGAAATTCACTGAATTGAAACAAGCCAATTTCTGGAAAAATCTGTTTTTTCGATAAAATGTTTTTGCTCTAGTTTTTTCCAGCCATGTAGTGTATTTCACAAAACAGCAACGTAAACACTTTTCTCACATCACACCAGTCGTGATCAACAACTGGATGTTACTAACCGATGGAAACGTCGAAGAAGGCAACAGGAAGTGGTTGGAGGAGGATGGCGCAGCATGATTTTTAATGACTTATTTGTAAACAAGCTTATTTCCATGTGATTTTCGTTTTGTTCTTTATTTAATGGAAACACCGCTAGTGTGAAATTGTGTTTTTTCAACGTTAACGGAATATCGACAAAGTTTTGCGCAGATTTGTAATGGGAACGCAGCCACAGCGGCACAAAAAGTGGGTATGCTAAATGCTAAGCATAGCAGCACGAAAACAGTGACAGAAGGATGATTTCTAGTTGGCATTTTCCATATTTAACAGATGTTTGTGCTTTGAAAACCCACAACAAGGTGTCAGCATGCACCTCAGAGAGCAGCGAGCTGCGTCCCAGCAGGCAGACAACCTGTGGGGGGCTGAGGGGGTGAGGGCAGCCCTTAAAGGAGGGAGAAAATTTAAGCTTTGAGGAAGGCAGAAAAGAAGAGGAAGAAGAGAATATGAAAGAAGGGAACAAAGCAAGGAGGGAACGGAGTACGTAAAATGTCAAGGAACAAAAAAAAAAGGAGATGAGAGAGAAGAAATGGATAGTAAAGGGGTATGTGGGGTATCGGCTGGGTTCGGACTGTCATTCAGCGACACGATTGGCTGTGTCAGGGGGAGATAAGCAGCCCTCACATCCCAAACTCTGCCCCTCATCTTCAAGGCTTCCGGAATCAAACGGCGGAGAACACCGCTGGCGCGCGCGCGTCTGCACTGAAAAGAGACTACATGAAAGGAGAGATTCCTGCTATTATTCTAAACACCTCTGCATGTGAAACACCATTCTCAAAGGCTGTTTGGTGGAGGGAAGTGCAGTTATGTGGGGGGCTGAGGGGTGAGACGGGGTGTGTGTGTGTGTGTGGGGGGGGGGGGTGATGATGAAGGGGATGGAAAAGTGCGGAAAGGTGCAGCCGGTTCTTCTTTGGAGGTTGCGGTGGAGCCCTTTGTGGACGTGCCGAACCCCGAGGATCTCAAATCCCTGCGTCTTTACAACTCTTTCTCTTTTTTCTCTCCTCCTCCTTAACGAAAGCTCTCACATTAGACCGCATTAAGGCACAGAGCAACTCCCAGATCATCTCGGTTCCTGCAGGGACCTTCCGTCTTCCAGCTCTTATAGCCGTCCCAAAGGCCCCACCAGACCCCCGCTGACCGCTTCCCCTGCGTCAAACTAATCCTTTACCCATTACTATAAGCCCCCACAACACACTGTATAGATCTGCAGGATTATAAAATAGGTAGGTATTATAAGGCATTACTCGGAATTAGTTGAGCTTATACCCTCCCATCTGATGAGAGCCTGGCAAAAAGCACGGAACTGCTGCTGCTACAAGACTCGGAGGATGATGTAAAGACTCGGATCAAAGATCCGTTATAAAGCCGCCGTAGCCGAGCCGGACATATTGAGGATTGATCGAGCGGATCTGAGCGTGCGTCAGGATGAGTGGAGCGAGTGTGTTTTAACACCCCGGTGAGGATACAGAGTAGTAGAAGAAGAAGGGGGAAAAAATCACACACGCCGGGGCCTCAGATTCAGACAGACTGTCTACATGCGCAGGCATCACCGGCAATCTCTGCTGTGCTCCCAAACAGCTCCCCGCCACGCACCGCATCAATTATTCAGCATATTTATCTATGCAATTTGACGGCCTCTCCCCCCTCCCCCTGTCCTAACCACCCCTCACCATCCCCCCTCTACTTTCCGAAGCTCAGAACAAATTGAGGAAGCGGCTAATATCGCCCGAGGCTCGGCGGCTCGAATCGCTGCGCCTGCGGACCCAGGAGGCCGAGAACAAGAGGCTGTAAACAATCACTTGACACTCGCCACTTTCTGCGCATCTTCTCTTTTTCTGATTCGGTGGGGGCTAAATGGAAGCTGGGAGCTCGCCCCGCACCCCCCAACCCCCCTAAAACGGAGGTGGGCACGAGCCTTGTTTTGCAGGAGACCTGTGGAGCTTTTCAGAGCAAATCTAAATAAGCATCCCTTCCTCTCCCCATTAATATACATAGACACACACACAGGAACACACACACACACCTCATTTCTTCCCTCCAAACCGCCATTTAGCATGACACACACTGAGGAGCCAGGGTAGCCAATTATCAAACAGATGTCAATGTATGCCTTACAATACTAAGGGGAGCCCAATTACCACACAGATGTTTTGTTTTCCTTCTTCTTTCCACCCAACATCCTCCCTGTTCCACGGTCTCTAAGGACAAACCCCCACCCGCCCCCGCTCCAACACACACACTCACACACACACAGACACACACGCATGCACACACTCCCTTCACACTGACGTAGATGCACTCACTTCTTCTCTTATTCCAGACAGAAGTTATCCTCCAACCACTGAACTAAC